TACCATGTTTCCAGTGTGTACACTTAGAATTACCATGTTTCCAGTGTGTACACTTAGAAGCGGCCACAGGTGCATCATTTATCAGAAATGTCCAGTTTTATTATAATTTCCATTCAACGTAATGGAAATCTTCTAATCAGTTTTGTTGCCAAATGTTGTCAGTGCAAATAAAGGAAAAGAAGTCATTCTCTGGAGTTCACTGTTTTATTTACATTTTTTTTGTCTTTTTTAAATGCATTTTATTGAAATATAATTTATGTATAGTGAAATTTCACAAAACTAAAGTGACATGGGTCAGTGCAATGTTTTTTGCACTGTTCCCTCCCCTCCCCTCTCACCCCTGGCAACAACCAACAAAGAAAGTTTCCCTCCATACATAAACCTTTCCTTGACTCTCCACAACAACGAACTAATACTGTATTTGTCTTTCTGTGATTGACTTATTTCACTGAGCATAATGTCTTCCAAGTTCATCCATATTATGCGGTGTTTTGTTTGCATTTTTTTTTTTTTTACATGCATCTCAAGATGACTCAAAGTTGATCAGACTCTCTGCAGACAGGTTGCAGAATTTAGTCGTGCTTTGTTTTGTTCTAAAAGCGGGTTTCCACTCCCACAGTGATTACATGTGAACTCTCAGTTTTCCTTCCTAAAACCTCGCCTGTTTTCTGTGGAGACTTAATTTTATGTCATTCTAGTTTTGAAGCAACACAACAGAAAATGAAATCCTAAAAGTCACGTCGTGCTTCAGTGCTATTTGCAAACAGCTGGCAAACCCTCTGCCTTTTGCCCCATGAAGGATCTAGAGTGAGTGAGCAGAGAGGAGAGTGACACGGGAACCCGTGGGAACGAGCCAGGCATGCGAAGGCTGCTGTCTGATGCAGCCGGGAAGGGGAGGGTGGACTCGAGTGTGCGCCAGACCGCCTCCCCTCCCCCTTGATCAGCAGTGTAGAGGTGATGGTCCTGCTGTACTTTTAGGGGCAGGCAAAGGGAAGGACCCTTGGAGAGGGTCAGGAGCTGGGCCTCCTGCCACCCGTGTCAGGGAAGCCCCTCTCTGTAGCCATAAGGTCTCTACTTGTGAGGCAAAGACCATCTTTACATCAACAGAAACCTATCAAGACTTAAAAACAAACAAGCAAACGTACACACACACAAAACTGAACCAATTGCCATCGAGTCACCTCTGACTCATGGTGACCCTGTCATATTGGAGTAGAACCATGATCCCTAGGGCTTCTAATAGCTGACCTTTTCCAGGTAGATTGTCAGGCCCTTCTTCCAAGGCATCTCTGGGTGGACTTGAACCCCCAACCTTTTGGTTAGCAGTTTAGTGCTTAACTGACTCCCAGAGACTCTGGAATATAATTAGGAATTCTTGATCCCCTATACCTTCTGTTCCCTGTAGGGCTGGCCCTCAACCAAAAGGAAGCTTTTTTTATTTTTTATTTTTTTTTATTAGGATTTGGGTGAAGATTTACAGAGTAAATTCACTTTTCATACAGCAGTTCACATATACTTTGTCTCATGTCATTGACCAAAATTTACAATGCAGCAGATCCCCTCCCACTTCTTCCCCATAGTTACCTCCTCCCAGTGTCCATCCCTTCATACTCTTCTGCACCCTGAGAGGCCCATTGTCTGCCAACCCTGTATATGATCTTGGATACACTCTCCATTTAGACATACATAATTGTTTAGCTTGTTCACCCATCTATCCGTCCCTATACCCATGTTTGCTTTCATTGACAACTCAGTATTGTATTTACAAAGGGGTTCATATTTGTTGTTTGTACTGCCCATGTAACTCTCTCTGTCTTTCTCATCCTCAATGCTGCCATATTGGTCACTCACATTTGGTACATTGCCCTTCTCTTCACCCAAATCAATATTTATCTCTATCTATCTAACAGCATTCCCTCCCCTTCCCTCCCACCCCTGGTAACCAACAAAGAAAATGTCCTCCAATATATAAACCTTTCCTTAACTTTCACAATAACGGACTAATACAATATTTGTCCTTTTGTGACTGACTTATTTCGCTCAGCATAATGTCCTCCAAGTTCATCCACGTTATGCGGTGTTTTGCAGATTCTACATTACTCTTTAGCGTTGCATAGTATTCCATTGTGTGAATGTACCAAAGTTTGGTTATCCATTCCTCAGTTGTTGGACATCTAGGTTGTTTCCAAGTTTTGGCTATTGTAAATAGTGCTGCGATGAACATCGGCGTGCATATATCTGTTCTTGTTATGGCTCTCACTTCTTTAGGGTATATACCTAGTAATGGGATGGCTGGGTCAAATGGTATTTGTATTTCCAACTTTTGAAGGAATCGCCATACTGCTTTCCACAATGGTTGTACCATTTTACAGTCCCACCAGCAGTGTATGAGAGTCCCAATCTCTCCACAACCTCGCCAGCATTTGTTATTTTCTGTCTTGTTGAACTTTGATACTAGTAGGAAGCTTATTTTAACAATCATTTAGACATCTTGAAATGTCGCTGAACCTTGTCACAAAGAACCTCGTAATTGTTGGAAATATTAGCAGATGAAAGCCTGCGGCTGTTATTAAAATGTTTGTTTCTTTTATCTTCTGGCTTTTTAAGTGTTTGTTTCCTTCACATTTAGGCGTTTTTTCCTCCAGTAGTGGTGACCCAAGACCGCAGTACTACTTTAATAATTCAGGTAAGCACTTTCTTTCATGTGGTACATTCCAACATCGTTTAAACAATTAGAGGGCTGACTGTGTAGAGCTGCTCTCAGATGATACTGGTTGTTTTGGTCCTCTGGTGCTGCTCTAACAGGACTATACCACAGATGTATGGCTTCAACAAATAGAGATTTATTCTCTTAAGAGTTTAAGAGGCTAAAGGTCCCAGTTCAGAGTGCCAGATCTCAGGCCTGGGTGAAGGCCCGTCAACTCTAGGCCTTAGCTCTGCTGCTTGGTCCCAACCCACTGAAGCTGGAGGCTTCTTGTAACTCAGGCAGCTTCTGGCTGCTGATGCTGACAAACCCAAGGTCAACAAGTAAAATGGCACAATCCCAAGATTATCAGGCAACACAGCATACCTAGTTGAAGTCCAGAAATAGTCCCAAGATTGGCAGACAACATGGCAGGCCATTGAGATGGAGTCTTGGCCGAATGCAGGATCTAGAATGTACCAAAAGCTGGAGCCCTTTCTCAAAGAGCCTTCTTATATACAGGAAGCAGACCACATCCCTAAGGCAGCTACTTAGCCACACACAGCAGATTCCATCACAGAGCTGATTACAAGTCTTATCAAGGGGAATCACTCCATCTAGCTGCCCAGCCACTCAGAACCAGGCCCAGCCAAGTGGACACGTAACCCTAACTACCACACTGGTTTATGCTGTTGTGGAGTAGTTCACACATCATGTAATTGTGCCTGTAACATGCCAGAAAGCTGGATGCAGGGGGAGCCCAGGGACCATGTTTGGGCAAGTTGGTAGGAAAGGGCAGGGAAGGAGGAAACTCTGGAACAAAAAGATCCTCTGATGGGCGTGAAAGCTCTAACACATGGTGAGACTCACAGTAGGCCCAGGTCTCTTGATTGTCAGCCTTGGAGACCGTACTGCTACTCCTGTTAGGAGTTCATTTCAAGTGGATGATCTTCTGCGGCCTGTTCCATCTGTGTGTTCAGGAAGAAGCACTCTAACATGCTACGGGGGAGGTAAGGGAGGCTTTCCAATAATAGTTAATCCTATGAGTGAAGGAGGAGAATGCACTTTTTTCTAGATGTCTGTGTGAATAGCTAGAGAGGATTTCCCATCAAAGGCCTAAGACCTGCTTTGGGCCAGAGACCTTACATTCCAGTCACCACCAGGCTGCACGGTAGAATCCTAGACTGGTCCCAGCATGCCTAGCAAATATGCAGAGGAGCAGTGGAGTGGAAGCACCAAGTGTCTTTGATGTTCATGCCAGTTGAGAGCTGCTGTGCTTCGATCTGGGCTCGGCAGCCTTCTCTGATAGCTCATGTTTTAGCTTTAAGGGCCTTGTGGGCCAGTTTCTGTATAAACTTCTCAGTCTGTGGGTGTAGAGCAAAAGCAGCCACAGAGCACCTAAACAAACGGGCATGGCTATGTTCCAGCAACACCTTATTGACAGGAATGGGGTGGGTTAGATTTGAGCCATGAGCTGTAGTTTGTTGACTCCTGGCTTAAGTAATAAAAGGGCAAAGAGTTATTGCTAAGGTACCTGTTACTTTTGTTAATTCCACTCATGGCAACTCCATGTGTGTCCTGGTAGACCTGTGTCCCTTTGACTGATTTTCCTAAGGTGCCTTTGGGCACATGGAAGCCTCCAACCTTTTGGTTTGCAGCAAGTGTGTTAGCATTTGCACATTCAGGAACTCTGTTGCTAAGATACTATATTGCTTTTGCATTATCTTCCCGCGGAATGTTCTTTACTAGCCTACTCAGGAGCGTTTTGTGAGTGGTCACGTGCAGAGTGCCAGACTGGCTGCCATGGGAGAGACAAGAAGAGCTGCTGTCCTGGCCTCTGGACATTACCATCCAGGAATGAGAACGCAGGCTATCCCCTCTGCTGATTGGGATGTGGCCTGGGTGCAGGAGAGGACAAGTGGCTAGAGGCCGGCTCACCTGCCTTGTAACTGTGCGCTTCCCCGTGGAGAGGAGTGGTGAGCAGTTTCCACAAGGCCCCATCAGTATGGTCAGGTGCAAGAGCATCAGGTCCTGTCTGCGGCTTATGTGACGCACAAGAGCTGGGCTGGACAGGAGGACCACGGTGAATCTGTGTCCCATCATGGTTTCTCCTTTCCATTAACTTCATTCTGTCCACGAAGTGGGGGACTTGGCCTTGAGTGGCTTCGGTTTCTTTAAATCCCCAAAGAAACAGAAAGGTTCTTCTGGACAAAGGGGTGTAGCTTAAGCCATTGTCGATTACCTGCTCCTGGCATCTCACGTGACAGCTGGGAAATTGAAGCTTAGAAAGGTTAAGGGGTTTGGCTGGAGTCAGCAGGTAGTTAGTGACAGAGCTGGGACTGAAGACGCGTCACTGGTTCCTAGGGACACAGCTGCCATGATTCGACCCCCACTCATGGTGACCTGTTGTGTCACAGCAGGGCTGTGTTCCATAGACTCTTCAGTGGAAGAGAAATACCAGGCCTTTCTTCCTAGGAGCGTCTGGGTGAACTTGAACCTCCAGCCTTCCACAGTTGGCAGCCAAGTGTGTTACCCTTTGCGTCACCCTGGGCCCACTGGTTCCAGGCCCTGCTTTTCTCCTGCACGGGGTTTTAAGATGGGAGCACTGTGCTGATGGAATTTTGCAAAATAGGGCAGTTCCACGTACGGTGTTTCTTTCCTGTTTTGATTTTGGCACTCCATTTATTTAAAAATAAGAGAAACCCTTCTTACTTCATATGGAAGGGGTAGAGACCCAGCAGGCATGCAGGCCTGAGAATTAAAGGCAGAGAGAGCCTTTCACTTTTCTTTCTTATCCCCTGTAAGATCACCACATTTCTATTACTTCCTCTGAAATAATTGGATTTCTTCAAAGGCCAGGTGGCCATGCTAATGGTCATCTAGAGAACTTTCATGAGAGCATGTGTGTCTCTTACCAGGAATGATTTACTCTTGATATGGCCAGTCTTTGCTGGGAAAGCCTTTATAGGTCAAAGAACCTCATGAATGTTAAAAACCTGTTACCAATTTTTCTAATCTTGGTGGTGTTGCTTGATCTCCTTTGCCATGCAACCCTGGTCTGCATTAAGGAACAGATGGCGTGGTTAGTAGAATAATGATAACCAGGGTTTCTTTCACTACAGAGCCAGAATATGTAGCTACAAAAGAATATTGGGCTCATATTCATTGTGGGATGTAATTTAAACTTACTTATCTTAAGTGTTTGATCGTTAGATTTCTCCAGGAATGTTTATTATGAGGATTTAAACACATCTGATTGAACCAGCAGAACAGCTGTAGTAAATTTTTGGTCCTAGGAGTCCCGTTCCTCAGGATAATAGATACCGATGGGATTTCTGGTCTTGTTGATCATTTATGATGGATCATACAGAACCTCGAACCACTAGTCTTTTTCACTTCAGACACTAAAACGTTTCCTTTGTCTCTCCTCACATTTTGTGTGACAAGCACCAGCTTAGGTTTTATAATATTCAGATGTTTAGGATTGTGGACTTTCATTTCATTAGGCACAACTGGGTTGTTTCTGAGTAAGAAATAACATGGAGGAAAATGGTTTTCTGTATCAAGAAAATGTTGCCTGAGATCTCTGCTGTGTCCTTGATGATGAAAACAATGTACTGATATATATAATAGCTGTGCTGTTTGCAGAGATGAGTCCTTGGGGACTTTAGGTTACTTTGGATTTTGAACGGACTGAACATTTTTTGGGGTGGTGGGGGTATTGCTAGGTGCCGTCGAGTTGGCTCTGACTCATAGTGACCCTGTGTACAACAGAACAAAACACTGCATGGTCCTGTGCCAGCCTCACAGTCCTTGGTATACCTGGGGGCAGATAGGTCGAAATGCATTTGACACCTTCCATAACAAAGACTTTCCACGGGGGCTTGAAGTGCTAGTGAGCCATGTGGGAAAATGCCCAACATACTCTTTGTGTTGTAATGAAATAATCGGCACTCCTAGGGAACTGGGCAGTCTCCCTGTGCAGGGATAGTGGAAGCATTCCGTGGCTGTCGGTGACTTAAGTAAACATGCTGGTAGTGTTTAGAATGCTTCACCCTTCCTTATGTTCCATGTGAAGTAGATACATTCACTGTATTGTGACCATTTGCTTTCCTATGAAAAGTCAATTTTCTTTGTTTTCTTTTTGTTTTTTGCTGACAAGGATGGAAATCACAATTTGTAGCCGTCGCTATCTTCTTTACCACAGGTGGACTTACCCAGTAAGCAAGGTAAGCACAGGCTTATTTACACTTACTTACTAATCTGTAGTGAACAGTTTTACTCTTTTCATTACAGATCAGTAAATAAGCACAAGTAAGCCTGTGCTTACTTGCTTACTGGATAATGTGTCCCTATCAAGGATTATAAATTGGAAAAGAGGCTTTGATTCTGTAGGAAGGTATTGTGGGGTTGTGAGAGACAGATGCCAGCCATACTTAGAATCAGAATCTTTGATGTGAAAAAATGTGAAATTGTTCACTATCGATTAGTAGGTAATCACAGTAAGCTGCTGCTTGCCTTGCTTGTTGGGTAATCCACCCTGTCTCTTCACTGATATTCATAAAGTTTACACTGGCTGATACTTTGAGAGTGGATGGACTCCTCTTTCTCCCAACTCTGTCTGAGTCTGAAAGCTGAAACCTGTCCACCATGGGTGACGCTGCTGGCAACCTGCAATATGTAGACGACACAATCTTGCTTGCTGAAAGTGAGATAACTCGAACTACCTACTGATGAAGATTGAAGACTACAGTCTGCAGTATGGATTACACCTCAATATAAAGAAAACAAAAATCCTCACAACTGGACCTATAAGCAGCATCATGATAAGTGGAGAAAAGATTGGAGTTGTCAAAGACTTCATATTACTTGGTTCCACAATCAGCACCGATGGAAGCAGCAGTCAAGACATCATACGATGTGTTGCACTGGGCAAATCTGCTGCAAAAGACCTCTTTAAAGTGTTGGTGAGCAAAGATGTGTCTTTGAAGACTAAGGTGTGC